ACAACAAGTAAAAACAACGAAAAGAAGAAAAGAAAAAGAAAAGAGTAAAAAGGGAAGAACAGAAAAGAAAGCAGAAAAAGTAACGTAAGAAACGGACAAAAGTAAAAAGGTACGGAGTGAGAGTAAAAGGAACGGAGGAAGTAAAACGAACGAAAGAAAGATCTAGCATGAAGTGGAAGAAATAAAACCAGCGGAACAACCGACTTAACTATTGCCCTTTCAACCCAAACTAATTACTAATGCCGGCTGTACCATATATTTTGCCTCATTTGGGCGTTTCTTCCTCACAATTTCCATCACCGATACGAAATGATCTGTCTCCGTTTTTCTTCAATTGGAACAAGCAGCTACGCTTCGCAGTTCGCACATACCAACTACAACATACCGTCGGCTCACCAATCTGGGAAGTGAATAGGTACGAGATTTCAAATTTATTTCTAGATTTAGGGTTCTGGCTTGTTCTTATATGCTCTGTGAAATTAATCTTGTAATAACATGCCTCTTCTTTGTTCTCTTTATTACTTACATAACCTTTTTATTCAACTAAACGTGATGTACAAATATTGATATTTTTACAGTGAAGAGTACATAACAGTTTGCCAACATCAAATAGCGGCATTAATTTGCTTTTAAAGGGATTTAGAAGAAAGGGTTGCTTATATTTAGCTATGAATTTGAACTACGAGCAAAGCTACACATACCACTAAATAACGTATTCACAGTTTACCCTAAACGTATGGAATATTTTTTTACCATCGATGCTTGAAATTTCAATATGTCAATTCCACTTGACAACGTTTGGCGGGATCTATAGAGGGATGGGTTCTGCTTATCTCTCGAAGATATCAAATTGATGTTGTGAGGCCAGGTGTCACCCTTGAAGTCTACTACTCCCTCCGTCCCAGAGAGAAGTCCCGGGTTGACTTTCACACATATTAAGGAAATAAAGTTACTGATGGGTAAATTTTACTGTTTGGTACTGTTTCGACACTGTTTGGCACTGTTTGGACACTGTTTGGCACTGTTTTGCATTGTTTAACACTGTTTTAATAGAGGATAACTTTCCATTTAGGGAAATGCGAACTTTTTGTTGAGACCGACAAAAAAGGAAAGTGGGAATTTGTCCCTGGGACGGGATAGTATTACTCAGATGGCAGCAGCTAGGCAGGGGTGGAGGGAGGGGGTGGCCAGGCTGGGCCATGGTCCAGGGTAATGTTTTTTTTTTTTTGTATTATATATATAGAATTAATTTTATTTTTAGAAAATGGTCCAGTGCAAAAATAAAACTGGCCCAGTATAAAAATATTATGGCCCAGTGCAGAAAGTCCAGCTCGAATTTTATTGTAGCGCAGGAGCAACCAGAAACAAAGCCGGAGATGGGATTCAGATATCACGCAGAGTCGTAGACGCACGCCTCAGCCAACTCCGCCGACTCACCGGGCGTCGGCCGTGTCGCTGACTCTCCGTATGCTCGCAGCTCTCCGACTCTCCGGAGACGCACCCAACACCCTAAGGCCTAACTTGCTCGCTGACTCGCCGTGTTGTCGTCTTCTCCTGGCCTCTTGGTCGTCTGCGGACTGGACTTCTATGGACTATGGCTTGAGCCAATTTGGACTCCATTCTCCAGTATTTTGGCTTTTCTCCTCTCGTCCGCAGGTCTGCTGAGCCAAGGTATGTACTTTTTTTTTACAATTTTTATTAGTTTGTGTTAGTTTATTACGGAGTAGTTTTTTTTGTTAAATTAGTTTGGGTTAGTGACTTAGTGTGCAATTGATTTGTGTAATTTTGTTTTTACATGTGTACTGATTTATTTGTTAAATTAGTTTGTTTTAGTACTTATTGTGCAAATGATTCGTGTAATTGTATGCTTTGAAATTTGAATTGTGAAACAGAAAATTAGGAATGTCAAATGTTATTTGTGAATTTTTAAAAATATTATTATGAAGTATATGAATTCCAATAAATTAGTTTTTATTTTGTTGGTAATTTTAGTAGGTATGGCTACTCAATCTACTTCCAAAAAGGAAAAAATCACATTGCCTTCGTTTTATAATCTTAGTACAAGCACACAAAGTAGAAAAGAATTAAGAGCCCGTTTGGTAGCACCAAAATCGGCTGTTTTGGCTGATTCTGCTGAAATTTATGATATTCTGGCTGGAGTGGCTGTTGTGGCTGATTCTGCTGATTTAAGAAAAAAATATTTTAAAAATATATTTTATTAATAAATTAAAGAAAAAATTATATGTAAAAATAGCTAAAATGGTCCTCTACAGTAACTTCAGCCAATACAGCCAGAAAAGTAACTCCAACCTTACTTTTTCGGCTTATTACACAATTCAGCGCGCGAAAGTAAAAGTTACGTGTTTGGTGAAAAAGCTGGCTGATAAGCCTGATAAGCCGAAAACAGAGTTCTCCAAACGGGCTCTATATGTCTCAATTGAAACTCCTAATATCTCATCCGCTCAAGTGGAAGTAGTTTCCGATGCACTTGAAATTGAGCAGGATCCTGGAAAACGCAAAACAATAAGTGATTGGCCGTTAGAGAAAAAGAGATGAAATTAGATGATCTTATTTGATGCTTGGACCATATCAACCGAAATTGAATTTTTACAAAGACCGAGTTTACAAAGATAGAATACGTCGTTTTCAAGTTAACGTTTTAGTTTCAAACATTTTATGTATTGTTTAAACATATTACTATGAATTTTAATGGATTAATCATTATGTTCAGACTATTGTCGCTTTTAAAATTTTTATATAATGTTTTTTAGAATTTTAGTGTATAGTCGGCCCAGGGTGAACAGCCATCCTGGCTACGCCCCTGCAGCTAGGTGATTCTGCTTCACGGCCATATATTATCCCTTCACAGCTGGAAGCTTAATTTATGGTCTCTCCAAATGCATCCTGGCCTTGGTATTTTATTCATTCTGTTGTTATGTAAATTTCATCATTTAGTTAACTTAGCTCGTTTTGATCCGCTTATTATCATTACGTTGAAAAATTGATATTGAAGAATGATAATGATGTGTGGGGTGGAACTGACTGCAAGTAAGTCTCTATATTTTTCTTTTACATGTGAATCTTGTGTGCTATATGTGAAGAATGTTTGACCACGTAATTCTGTCTCCATATTGTGCTTAATTTTCCATAGGTGTGATGCTCTGGATACTGCATTATTCTACTCTAAAACGACTTCCTCCAAATTATGAAACACAACCTAAATTACAAGATTAATTAAATAAAGATATAAATAAAAGAAACAACAGGGTACAATCATTCTAGTATCCTAGATATTTACACCTTATTATTATTCTTTAATGTTGTCTTTTTTTTTTGTTAATGGCAGTAGATATGTCTTCACAACCACTCACTTGTGATACATATATGCCTTCTATTACACGTGCTACCAATCGTGCCATTCGTGGAGGGGCTAAAACCAGTGGTCGTCGGCCCAGTACTGTTAGTAGGGATTCTGGTAGGAGTTTTACTTCGGGGGATCATACAGTTCGGTCGAATGGCAGTGGCTCACCAAACAACCTTACGCTTGATGGAATTCCATCATTTGGGTAAAATTGTGATGGGCAACAGCCCAACGTTACACCTGATATAGTGTCATTTACTCAACCTCGCTCTATCCAACCAGACCAACGCCTTCTAATCACAATTGGGCAGTAAGTTTTTATGTGCAAACATTTCCTTTTATCATGTGTATAAAAACCATTTTCACGTTTTTCTCTTTATCTAGCACTTAATTTATTTTTCCTCATTAATTTTATTTCACTTATGTTATAGATTGAAAGTGAATGAAAGTGTGAAAAAGTCGTTAGAGACTATTGCTACAGATTTGTTCACTGGTTGGCCACCTAACTATGGGAATTTGGATCCTACAAAATGCGAGAAATACACTTCGCGCTTCTTGGCAATCGCAATAGTTTTTCAGTGCTGCAGTTAGTTGTTTTATACTAATTAAATCTAATTTTTTTGCAGGAAGAGTACAGATGGGCTCCATCAGATACCAGAACAATGATGTCCCACCTTCACTCACAATTTTCTACTCGTTACCAAGCCGGTATGTCCCGACTATCGATTATTCATGCGTGGCCCTAACTATAAGAACCATTTTCCAAAAATTTCTCTAACCGGTTACAACCTTATATTAAGGAAAATAGTACAAAATCATAAATTGATAACACAACTGAAAAAACAAATAGGAAAAAAGGAAAAAAATAAATTTTTGCGAAAATGAATCAAAAAAGATAATGTCAAAAGTAGCACCTCCGACTTATGAGTGGACAAAAGTAGATCATCTCCTTTTTTTGGACAAAAAAGGGACCCCCCCTTTCTCACCTTCCCGCTGGCTTACGGATCGGAAATACGGAGCTTCACTCCTCTCCCTCATCCAGCCATCTTCGGCCATTGTCAGCATCTACTCTCCCTGCGACCAGAGACGGAGGAGGCGGCGGCTTCATGTAGAGACGGTGGAGACAGCTTCAAATAGAGATGGCGGTGACGGCTTCAAATAGCGACGGCGGCGACGACTTCGAATAGCGACGGCGGTGGCTTCAAATAGTGACGGCGATGACAACTCATCTCCATCTTTTCTCCTCCTTTCCTCTTTACTGCAAACTGCCGCCGCTCGTACTGTCAGAGTTGGGAGCTGACAGTGGTTTTGTTGTTGAATAGATCCGCCGTCAACCTGAAAAAATCCGTTGTCTAACTCGCACAGATCTGAAATTGCCGACTCTTTGGAGCAGGTACTGGCTCATGGGGGCTGTAAAGTGGTGGCAGGTGGCTGGATCTGTGCAGTGATTGGGTATCACAGTTGCAAGGGTTGGGTATCAGGTCTGCAGGGGAATGATGGCTAGGGAGGGGGCTGGGTGGTCGGGGACGAAGGTGGCCAGAGGCGGCGGCAGACCGGTGGTGGTCAGGGGTGGCGGTGGACCGGTGGTGGTTGGGGGTGGCGGTGGACTGGTGGTGGTTGGGGCAGTGGTGGTCATGTTGGTCAATGGTTGAATTGGTCATGATTAGTAATTGATCATGATAATTGGTCGGGTTGGTAACTGGTCGGATTGATCACGGTAGGGTTGGTCACGGTCGGTTTGGTCACGGTCAGATTAGTCACTGTCGGATTGGTCACGGTCAGATTGGTCACGGTCAGATTGGTCACGATCGTTGTCGGTTTGGTAACTGTAACTGGACAGGTTATGTAACTGTAACTATAATTGAGCGGGTCAGTAACTATAACTGGATGCGTCGGGTAACTGTAACTGGGCAGGTTATGTAACTGTAACTATAATTGGGCGGGTCGGTAACTGTAACTGGACGCGTCGGGTAATTGTAACTGGACGGGTCGGGTAATTGTAACTGGACAAATTGGGTAACTATAAATGGACAGGTCGGGTAACTGTAACTGTGCGGGCGGACGTTGGTCACTGGACGGGCAGACGTTTGTCACTTGGCGGAATTTGAATTTTTGGTCACTAATGAGTTTTGGTCACTAACGGATTTGGAGCACTAATGGAAAGTGACTACCGGAAGACGTTAGTATTGTTATTGTTACTTCATATGTCTTAATCCCCTTCTAGGTCCCTTTTTTGGAAAGTGAAAAAAGGTCTCTTTTTTGTCTATAGCTCTTTTTTTAGTATTATTTTAGACATAAGCCCATCAAAAAATGACTAAAAATATTTTATTTAACTTTGGTACATATGTATAAATTTTTTAGTTGCCTATACATGATTAAAATATTTAGTTTCGAAATTTAAGAAAAAAAAAAACTCTGTTCCAAATATTAAGAGTTGATAGTTAGGATTAATAAATAAAAGGTCTACTATAATTGGGATTATTTAAAACTTACACATAGTTTGAATTTAAAATTGACATGCTATATCAGGTTGTAACATATATGTTAGGAACTGTTTTTGGAAAATGGCCCTATAGTTGGGACCACCCGGGAATAATCGATAGTTGAGATTATTATCGGCATGCCGGTAATAGTTGGGGTTAACATTTTCAATTTTTCCTATAATTAATTAGTAAAAGTAGCTACACATACACTTTAAATCTTTTTATTTGATAAAGTTAAAAATTATGTACTATCACAAAACATAACTTTAATTAAGTCATTTCTCAATTCTAGATATGTCCCGTGCATCGCACAGGTACTTCGTTTAGTATTTATAATAGAAGACTTTCCAAAATACAGATTGTAAGGTGTTTGAGATTGTATAACAAAGCCTCATCCGTCGATCCAAAATACATATTGCTGAAATTTTTGGTCCCTTTCCGAGGAGCCGCGAGTTTCCGTACAGTAGGGCTTAAGTTTTATATCTATAAACACAAGCTCTCTCCCTTGTAATCCCTTGATCCGAAAATAGTAAGAACATTCTTGGCTTGGTAGTGCCCCCAGACGTAGGCATTCGTGGCAAACTGGGTTATCAAATTTTGTGTGTTCTTTATTGTTTTTCGTGTTGCGTAAATTAGTTTTTAACACAAATTATTCCTAAATATATATTAGGTAGATTCCTAAATATATATTAGGCATATTCTTAAATATATTGTCGCATACCATATGTGGTAATATTTGGGTGGTTACAATTCATTCATATTGTATTCACACTTTATCAATTCAATATAAAGCACACAATTTTCATTGTTCATAAAAGTTGTGCCACACCGGCCCCTTTGTCCCGAACATAGTGGGACGGAGGTAGTAGTTATTGTTTATAAAGAAAATTGCATAAAATATGTCTAAGTTTAGAGAATTGGTTTAGGCCAGTAAATTTGTCAAACACAAAAAGAAAGTAAATCAATTATCTGTAATACGAAGCTACGAAGTACGTATGTGTTTTCAAACAAAAAAACGAAGGACGTATGTAACAAATATGAGTTGGGCTGACTGTTTTTTTAGATTGTAGAGAGTATTTCTTTTTTCTTTTTCTTTTTTGAAATAGTGTGCATCCCTTATAATGTCTTCCATAGTGAGAGTGGGTACGTACAAAGCCAAAGCCGTTCCTCTATAAAAAGCCCTACCCTTAGCATTCTTTTGAGAACCATTCTAATATATTTAACTAGCTAAAGATAAAAGATATATAATGAGTTCTCTTTTGAGTGATTTTTTTGCTCTTTGTGAAGAACAAATGGGCTTAGAGAGAAAATGGGGTTACCAAGGAAATATGTTACGAGATCTCGCACCCATACGGTCATGGTCGGAGCAGAAAATGGCGGACGAAGTGAAAACAAAAATGGCAAGGCTTGACGGGGAGATAATGCAGGTGAAAGAAAGGAAGACTGCTATTGGAGAAGAGATGACTGGCCTGAGTGAACTAGTCCTGAACTCCGTTAGTGATAGCAAGAGAGCGGCTGTTTTTATGAAGGAGTTTGCATTTGAGGGAGCTGTGGTTGTGAGCAATAGTGTGGAGGACGAAGAGAGGGAAAAAATCGTTGAGATTGCTCAAGAGAAAGGCATCAAACTGGGGTGAATCATGAATAATGCAGGTTTTGGCTAGGGTGTGTTTCAATTGAGCGATGCTCTAATAATAATGAATAATCAACAAGACATGATGAATGTTTCTTGTGATGTGATGTTGTAGGTGTTAGTGATGTTAATTAAGGGAGTAGCTAGGTAATTAAGACACTTTCATGTGTGTTGTACGCGTTAGTGTGACGTATGTTAAGGGAAATAGGAGTACCTAACGTGTACAACACACACATGAAAGCGTCTTAATTACCTAGATACTCCCTTAATTAACGTCACTAACACCTACAACATGACATCACAAGAAACATTCATCATGTCATGTTGATTATTTAATATTATTAGAGCATCGCTCAATTCAAACACACCCTAGTCAAAACTTACATTATTCATGATTTACCCAGTTTGATGCCTTTCTCTTGAGCAATCTCCATGATTTTCTCCCTCTCTTCGTCCTCCACACCATTGCTCACAACCATAGCTCCCTCAAATGCAAACTCCTTCATAAAGACAGCCGCTTCCTTGCAATCATTGACGGAGTTCAGGACTAGTTCACTCAGGCCCGTCAATTCTTCTCCAATAGCAGCATTCCTTTCTTTCACCTGCATTATCTCCCCGTCAAGCCTTGCCATTTTTGTTTTTACTTCGTCCGCTGTTTCCTGCTCCGACCATGATTGTATGGGTGCGAGATCCCGTAGCATATTTCCTTGGTAACTCCATTTTCTCTCTAAGCCCATTTGTTCTTCATGAAGAGCAAAAAAATCACTCAAAAGAGAACCCATTATATATCTTTGATCTTTAGCTAGTTAAGTATATTAGAATTGTTCTCAACAAAATGCTAAGGGCAGGGCTTTTTATAGAGGAACGACTTTGACTTTGTACGTACCCACTCTCACTACTGAAGACATTATAAGGGATGCACACTATTTCAAAAAAGAAAAAAGAAATACTCTCTACAATCTAAAAAACAGTCAGGCCAGCTCATATTTGTTACATACGTTCTTCGTGTTTTTGATTTGTTTGAAAACACGTACGTACTTCGTAGCTTCATATTATAGATAATCGTTTTTTTTTTGTTTTTGGCAAATTTACTGGCCTAAAGCAATTTTCTAAACTTAGACACATTTTATGCAATTTTCATTATAAACAATAACTACTACCTTTGTCCTACTATGTTCGGGACAAAGGGGCCGATGTGGCACAACTTTTATGAAAATTGTGTGCTTTATTTTGATAAAGTGTAAATAAAGTATGAATGAATTGTAACCACCCAAATATTACCACATGGTATGTGACAATATATTTAAGAATTTGTCTAATACTACCTCCGTTCTCTTTTAATTGCAACGTAGGACTTTTTGCACTATTCACACACTCTACTTTGACTATATTTTATTTATTAATGTATTATGAATTAAATTTTTAAAAAATATTTTTCATTTCCTCTCATAATTAATTTTCAAAATCTGATTTTTTTAATTTTTTTACTAATAAGGAATGAAAGATATTAACAGTCAAACTTGTGCGTTGGCAAGCGTGAAAAGTGGACCATTGCAATTAAAAAAGAACGGAAGAAGTATATATTTAGGAATCTACCTAATATATATTTAGGAATAATTTGTGTTAAGATCTAATTTACGCAACACGAAAAACAATAAAGAACACACGAAATTTGATAACTCAGTTCGCCACGAATGTCTACGCCTGGGGGCACTACCAAGCCAAGAATGATCTTAATATTTTTGGATCAAGGGATTACAAGGGAGAGAACTTGTGTTTATAGATATAAAACTTAACCTCTACTGTACGGAAACTCGTGGCTCCTCAGAAACGGACCAAAAATTTCAGCAATCTGTATTTTGGATCGACGGATAGGGCTTTGTTATACAATCTCTAACACATTACAATCTGTATTTTGGAAACTCTTCTATTATAAATACTAGACGAAGTACCTGTGCGATGCACGGGACATATCTAGAATTGAGAAATGAGTTAATTAAAGTTATGTTTTGTGATAGTACATACTCCCTCCGTCCCCAAATGAAGTTGAGCATTGCTTTTCACACATATTAAGGAAAGAAATTTACAGGGGGTAAATTTTACTGTTTGTCACTGTTTGGCACTGTTTGACACTGTTTTGATATAGATAAATTGCCAAATAAGGAAAGGTGAACTTCATTCAGGGACTACCCAAAAAGGAAAGAGTGAACTTGTTTCAGGGACGGAGGGAGTAATTTTTAACTTTATCAAATAAAAAAGATTTAAAGTGTATGCGTTGCTACTTTTACTAATTAATTATAGGAAAAATTGAAAATATTAACCCCAACTATTACCGGCATGCCGATAATAATCTCAACTATCGATTATTCCCAGGTGGTCCCAACTATAGGGCCATTTTCCAAAAACAGTTCCTAACATATATGTTACAACCTGATATAGCACGTCAATTTTAAATTCGAACTATGTGTAAGTTTTAAATAATCCCAATTATAGTAGACCTTTTTTTTATTAATCCTAACTATCAACTCTTAATATTTGGAACAGAGTTTTTTTTTCTTAAATTTCGAAACTAAATATTTTAATCATGTATAGGCAACTAAAAAATTTATACATATGTACCATAGTTAAATAAAACATTTTTAGTCATTTTTTGATTCATTTTCGCAAAAAATTATTTTTTTTTCCTTTTTTCCAATTTGTTTTTTCAGTTGTGTTATGAGTTGGGACCACGCATGAATAATCGATAGTTGGGATTCTTAACGACGGACCAACAATAGTTGAAATTATTTTATTTCAATTTTTCCTTAATTATGTACACAATAGTAGTTGTATGAAAATGAAAAAATTAGATTGTAAAAAATTCAAGTAAAATTAAAGAAAAGACGATTAGGCACAATCACTTATGCAAAAACGTCGTTTAGAGGCACCTATTTTTTGGCACGTGCGGCGCTTTATGGCGCCTCTAACGAATAGTGGCGCAAAGTTTTTTTTAGAGGCGCTCCTCTGTAAGAAAGCGCCTCCAACATTTTTTTATTTTAATTTTTTAGCTGAGGCGTGCGGCACTTCATTAACAAAAAAGCGCCTCTAAATTCAAAAATTACAGGGAAGCGCGCGGCGCTGTCTTGCAAAAAAACGCCTCCATATTTAAAAATCCTGGTGACACGTGCGGCGCTTCTTTGCTGAAAGCGCCTCTAAACGGTTTTTTGGGTTGCAAATAACGGCTCTAAATTTGAAATTAATGGATATTTTTAGAGGCGTTTAATGGTTAAAGCGCCTCTGAAATTATATTTAATATAACGCATTAATATTAAAATTCAGCTTCATTTTCCGGTTTATAATACAATCAAATGTATCCAACAAAAACAATACCATATCATCATGTATCAAGTGCATAATGCAGAATCAAGTACTTGTTTAGTTAAACATCCAATCAAAATGCATACATTAATACAACGTGCAAATTTTTTTGCTAAGTAGCTTTTCCTCAAGTTTGCAATACTACATCAAGAAAGTATCTTGACTATACCTTTCTGATTTCATTGAACTCTCCTAATGTATATGGTTCACTTCTTGAACGCCATACCTAAAATATTTATTGAAGTGATCACAAATATATTCAAACTTAATTACAAATATATATGTAATAAATAACTATGCAAACTCACAATTTATTCATACCAGTCCAATATCATGATTCTGAGAGTATGATAATATTTCCCACATGAACCTCATGACATAATATACACATTCAGTACTTCCGATTTGTTGTGCAACCTGTATAATTCATAAATGTATAAGAATCAAAATTATATTTCAAGATCACTTTCCTAAGATTAATTGTATGATAGAAAGGATAGAACATACCTTCACACTATGCCATTTAATTGGCTTACCACGACCTTTTTGTGCAGATGTCACTCTATACATTCTACAAATTCAAACAAACATTTTTTTACATATATACACATGTTAAATCTCATTAAATATACATGTTACATATAATTATTAAATTGAATTTATTCAAAAAATTATATAATACTAACGTTGTTAAATCTCTTTGAATACTAATGCTAGGAGAACTCGACAAGGAATAAAAAATGTATCCCTTATCGACCCTGGGGCAAATGACAAGCAGAATCCAATGATACCTATATTGAATAAAATAACACAATAAATAAATAAATAAATAACATATCACAAGAATTTCAATGGAGATATATTGTATACGTTTTACCCTTCATGGTATGGCAGGAAAATGAATGACTTTTCAAAGAACTCTATCAAAGCATGTTTCAAGTAAGTCATTGTGCCCTTTTTGTCCAATTTATAATGTTCAAGAGAGGACAGATGAGGGCATAAAAAACCAATGTCGTCACGGCCAAGCCCAACTAACTTTTCACTTAAACAACTGCACATAAATAAATAAATAAATAAATAAATAAATAAATAAATAAATAAATACTATCACACTTAAAGCAACTAAAAAATATATTTACTTGATTCAAAAGTAATGTATATTTAATACTTACACCATGAAAGTCTGAATGATAGAGATCTCAAGTGAGTCCCCCTCAAGAAATTGAGACAACTCATCACGATCAATTGTAGCCCCAAATGGATGATTTTCTTGGAAACCGAACACATCTATAGGAAGATGGACTGAGAACTTACAATCTTCAAGTTCAAACCACTGCAGTGCGTCGTGTAACTCCAAAACATCATCTGTAAGAGTATCAAGTATGCTCTCACTGACCAACGGGCATATGGAAGGTGCAACCGTTACTTTTGGGGGATCTCTCTCAACAAATGTTGTTTGCTTCTTCTTTATCTCTTTCTTTTTATGTTGAAATTGTGGTTCCTAACAATCACGATACAAATATATAAATGTATACATAAAATACACTTAGGGTTGTACTATTCAGTTACCTCCCCCTCAAAAATCACCAACCTAGCTGGCCATTGAACAAAGGAACACACATCATCCGCTATAACATGCATATCAGCCAATTCATTTGGAAACAACAAAGGACACTGATCAAAACCGGGACATGACATTGATATGTTCACTTTAATTGTTTTATCAGACATCAGTACGTTATGGATCAAAGCACCAACTGGTGTGTTGTAAGCTACAGCTACGGCCACATAATCCAAGCTCATATCACCATTAACAATATGTGACTCAACAGGCAGCCTACAAGATGCACCATCCTGCATGCATTTTCACATGCAATTAAAGATTTACATTTAATAAAACACTTAATATCATATAAATTAATTCTATTCTTACTCACAATGAAAGATTTATGTGGAATATTAGCTGTGGAGTTCATTATTTCTACTTGGCTTGACTCAAAAGTTCGTGTTGATCCCATGTCAGGTTGTTCACCTCTAGGAACAAAGTAGTGATGCAAGATTGTCAAGTTTCCCTACAACCTCACTCAAAATATCATGTCTTTCACTTGGCTTCCATGTCCCTGCAGCTATGTCATCTTGAATTTTGTCCTATTATATGGTTTATTTAAAGGAGCATTAGCTTTAATTTAAACGAATTTATAAAAGATATAAGAGGCGTTTAACTTACTAATTTCCTTTTTTTCTCTAACATGCCTTCAGCATTATTAGGAAAAGCTAAATGTCCATCAGATGTCAATCCCGACCTAGCACAAAACCAACTCACATGTCTTGGAATTTCTTTAGTTGTGGTTGTGCTAGATTTCGTTGAATCTACCTCCGATGTCGGAAGAAACCGGTCTAGTAAGCCTTGCTCTTTCCATTTCGCCATGGAAAGCACATATCCTGAACGACCCATATGGTGAGGGAAAATGTTCTTAAGCGCTGTTTGTCTATTCTTCTCACTCAAAGCCTACTCAATATTTTGGTTCAACATTATTTTTTTATAAAAATTTAATGACTTAACCACTAAAATGCTAATAAGTGTAGTATCATTTTAATATTAATAATCATACCATACACTCTGGAGTCATACTCTTAGCCACAAAATCTTCCCACACTTCTTTTGTGAGTTGGTCTTTGTACTTCTCCAAAGGATCGTCACAATCCTTTCCAATCGGTCGTGTCTTAGAGACGAAAGCTGATCTTAACTGATTTCTCCAATCTCAGTGCATTTTGGACAACTTTTTCAATACTGGTTTAACCATGTTATCTTCCAGAACATAGTTGATAAGTCCATTTTTGTACTTATTTTTCTTATCAAATTTAAGCGATTTTTGAATGAAAATAGAAAGAAAAGACACATTTTATATATTTTGGTTCAAGTTTCATGAAATCAGGTAAAAATCACATCCATAATATGTTTAGCGGGATTTCGGGTCAATTGAGCACAATATGAGCCAATTTGGGCAACAAATGATATCATACCAAAAGAAGGAAACAGTATTTCAAAGTGGTCCAGAAGACAATATTGAAGAGCACAAAACAAGGAACAAGCCGGACAAATAATCTCACAGGCGGCCGAACAGGCGGCCAAAATGGAGGCCTTCACGGCCGCCTATGGTATTTTTGGAAAGTCAACCTTTGACTTTGACCGAATTTGGAAAAGACCGTAGGCCGCCGACACTGGACAGAAGGCGGCCGCCTACGGTGGCCGCCTGCGGCACAAGGGGACGAAACCAACCATCGGTCGGCCAGACAGGACGGCAGGCGGCCAGACAGGACGGCAGGCGGCCGCCTGCTGGACCGCCTGCGGCGGCCGGGATCCGCCGGGATCCGATCTGCCAACGAAAAGACGGCAGGCGGCCATTTGTGACGGAAGGCGGCCGCCCTCTGTGGCCGCCTACGGCTGACGGGACCGGCCACGATCCGCTGTCGGCGACGGGACGGAAGGCGGCCGGAGAGAGGCGGAAGGCGGCCGCCTGGTTGGCCGCCTACGGGAAAATTTTTCCTATAAATTGCCCGATTTTTGCTGAACTCAAACACACCATTTTCAAGCCCATATCAGATCAAAAAGGGCGTCTTCTTCCTCCTCAAAGCTCGGATTTCCACCATTGTTGCACCTTCAACTTCAATCTTTCATATCTTTCTCATTTTAGCTCCAAATTGTGAGTCCTTTATATGTATTTTCATCCTTTCAATGAGTAGAATCTGAATCTGTACTTAGTTTTTTCTATCTGTGCTTCTAAAATTTTCAGAAAATTATTCCACTATTTCTCATTTTCTTCTTAAATTTGAATAAAATAGTTGTTGACATTAAATCCATTCCAATTAATTATATAGTTGTTTACTAGCCTCAAGGTAGTTATTTATCAAAACAAAGTTAATTTTTACGAAGTAGAAGTAAATTTTAATTAATTCCGGCATTTAGTTGTTATTATTGCATAAATTAAATTAAATACTCAAAAAGGAAAAAAAAATTAGTTTCTGTCCTAATTCTAGTTTAATTCACAGTAATATCACTCCCAGTAGTCAATATAAAATTTAGAACGAATTTAAAATAATTTTAGTTGCTTTTTGCATTTTCTAGTTAAATTTGGGAAAATTATCAATTAGTTGTTAAAATTGGATTTTAGGTTCAAAAATTCGTGAAAAATTCCAGAAAGTTATACTTCAGTTTCTACAAGTTTATTGTTCCAGAATATAAGTTTTGCTATCATCCATGTTTAATTCCTTGGTAATGTTGAATATATTCATTATATTGTTAGTTGTTAAAATGATCTTTATTAGCTAAATTTGTTTTGGGCATGAATTGACTAAAGGAATATGGATTGACTTGTTGACCAAAAAATTAGGGATTAAAATTAATAATGGGGACTAGTTGTTTGAAATGATGAAATAGTAATTAATAATTGTTAGCCATATTCATTAATTAAATTCTTAGAAAATTATCTCTAACTTGTCTATGAGATTATAAAATAATTTAAGCCAACCATATTCGAGCACATTAATAAGGCCTAGAAATAGGATAATTTAATGAAAGGGATTTACATCTTGTCTATGAGAGATAAATTCAATTGCTTAAATAATGAGTTTAACTAGTTAATGAATTTGGCTATTTTTATTAATTAAAATATTGGAGAATTATTTCTACCTTGTCTATGAGGTTAGAATTTAATTCAAGCCAACCATTTTGAACACATTAATGACACCTAGAAATAGGATAAATTAATGAAAATAGTTTCTATTCTTGTCTATGAGGAAAGAAATTATTAGTCCACTTTTAGTTTTAATTTCCCTAATTATTAGGTCCAAGAATATATCCATTTCTAATTACTCAATTCATTGCCCTTATTTGCATCAATCCATTTAAGTTTAATATTATATTTTTTCCTTTAGTCTATTTTTGAGCCATCATTAGTATTTGCACAATTTAATTTACTTTCTTTTCCAAAAAGTAGTTTAGAAAATCAATCAAAAGTTTTAATTTGGAAAGCTTCCAATAATTTGCGATAACCTATGACTGGACTTGAAATCAAGAAGCTCCTCCGCCATTCCTCGAGAGACACGATACTCGGGGAAAAACCGAAAGGTTAGACTCCGTTTTACTACAACGCCGCGAAGGCGGTTATCAATAGTCATGCTACATAATGAATTAAATATAAAGTGTTAGCTAGCATATTAAATATAAATTGTTAGGTAGCATATAAAATATAAAGTGTTAGCTAGCATATTAAATATACAGTGTTAGGTAGTACATATAGTACATCAGTTTTGATAATGTGTAGCTGCCTGGTGGAAGATAGAAACCATTAAGTCGTGGTTGTGGTGCCAACTCTTTTCTAATGTTGAGATGTTCAACCATGTCTTTTCGGATATTTATGTTATCCTTTGACTTACCAGGAATGTTCAAAATGGTCGAGATAATGCTATCACACACATTCTTTTCAATGTGCATGAGATCAAGACAATGTCTTACAGACAAGTCTTTTCAATAAGGAAGCTCCCAGAAGATGTATTTCTTCTTCCAAAGGCTCTGTTTGTTACGCTTATAAGGCTTTCCAAAGACTGTCTCTAAATCTTTCACCCTATCATACACATCATGGCCACTTAATGGAGGACGAGGCACTTCGTGTTCAGTTTTTCCATTAAATGCCTTCTTCAATGCATGATAACGATGAGTGCGTGGAAGAAACCTGCGATGACTCATATAAACATTCTTTTTGCAATGAGGTAAGCGCAAATCGCAAGTGTTATCTTCACATATCGGACATGCTTTTGCACCTTTAACCGTGTAACCTGAAAGATTGCCGTACGCTGGAAAATCATTGATGGTGCAATACAACATAGCATGCATTTGGAAATAAGATTTAGTGTGCATGTCATATGTTTTAACACCTTCAGTCCACAAAACTTTCAAATCGTCAATAAGCGGTGCAAGGTACACATCAATGTCATTACCCGGTTGTTGAGGTCCCGAGATAAGCAAAGATAACATGATGTACTTGCGTTTCATGCACAACCACGACGGCAAATTATAGATAACCAGTAAAACTGGCCAGGTGCTGTGCTGACTGCTAAGCCTGCCATATGGGTTCATACCATCTGTGCACAGACCAAGTCTCAAATTTCTGTCCTCTCTACCGTCGGGATATTTCAAGTCAATTTGTCTCCATTGAGGTGAATCAGATACATGACGCAAATACTCATCCTTCTTCCTACCCTGAGCATGCCAAACTAGATGTTTGGAATCCTTTTCATTCATGAATAACCTTTTGAATCTAGGAATAATTGGAAGATACCACAGAACTTTGGTAGGAATTTTGGAATCAGCTTCTTCATGAGCAACATTTGTACTCCTTTTCCTTTTATAATGTGAAAGGTGCACCTTGGACATCATCATGGTTTTCATGCTCATTTCGATATAGAATACAATCGTTGGGATATGCATGAATTTTCTTCCACTCGGTTCCCATAGGACACAATAGCCTTCTAGCCTTATATGTTGTATCGGGAAGTGTATTCCCCTCGGGCAACATCTCTTGAAGTAATGTCAACAACTCCGTGAAACTCACATTACTCCATTCGTATTTAGATTTCAAATGGAACAACTTTAACACCGCAGACAACTTCGTGAAGCTTGAAGTAGAATACAAAGGTATTCTGGCGGCATCAACCATACTTTCGTATGATTTTGGTTGATGCTAAAAACTTTCATGCACATCTTTCAAAAGATCATCAATTAGATCAACATTAAAGTCATCGTCATCATTAGTAGTGTCATTTTGATCATTTGATACGACATTGGCAATGTCGGACGCTTTGCGCTTTAAATTACTAGAAGTAAATTGTGCAAGAGCTTCATCATCCACACAAGTTTCACCATGCAAAGACCATATTCTATAATTTTCTCTAAACCCTCTTTGAAGCAAGTGTTGAAGAACAACATTGACATCATTTTCTTTTTTTAAATTACGACACCTCGAACATGGACATAAAATCCCTTCTTGGCCTTGTTGTTTTTGGTGTGTAAGAGCATGTTTTACAAATCCATTAACACCTGTGAAAAATTCAGAGGTGTTCCGAAGACCATGCATCCAACTATGATCCATTGATCTGAGAACATTATATAGACAATTAAAAAATTATACTAATACGTAGAGCAAATGTAATACGATTGAATGCACAAAACTCTACCTACATCTAAAACTTACAAAAACTTAGGTGCTTTCAATAAAGAAAAATGTATATATTTATTATTTTTCATTTCACACTATTTATCATTCTTTGTTTCTATGTTCTGCTTCAGTAGATAAGAATTGTCACTTCAATTCTAATGTTGAACCATGTCTGAGTATTTCAAAGAATTCTATATAACTTAGTACTCACACCGATACTATATAGTTAAATAGAAGAGTATAACATCCAGTATGTTGTCTTAATAACTTATCATTTACATTTGCACCTACATTGTATGCTTTAATGTATTTTTTTTTGAAATCTATTGTAATTACAATGATATTATAACACTCACACTGATTTACCTCGTATTAAATAACAAACATGTGTCTATAAAATTTTACTATGTCGGTATTATCTTATTCACAAGAATCACAAACATGTGTTTTCAAGGTTAAAATTCTTCTTCACTCTTCATGGCACAGAGCATTTAAAGAGCATTTGCAATACTTTTTTAAAACTATTAAAAAAAATACTAGATTCTTAGTGCAAGAATAGTTTAAAGTAGTTTTTCTAAATACATGTTTCGCTTCTTAAGCATGTTGATTGTAGAATGCAATAATGTGCACAATGAATATATAGCATAGCATGAGAGATAGATGTAAAAATTGTTTGGATTAATTCATACTCTGTATGAGGCTATTACTTTCAAAACAAATTTATATAAAAATTGTGTACTAGCTAGAACAATGAATAAACTACAATTTGTCTATTTGGACATGCCCAACAATAAAACAAATTCAGTACGCCATTAAGTGTCTCATAGTCTCATAGACCAAAAACCATTCATGGACACAACTTTTTTCCCGACCAAATGTGACTAATAGAGTAATAGCTAATAATAATAGACTAATAGATAGTACTTCGCTCAGGGAAAGGACAAAAAATAATAATTGAGTTCTTAAACCACAAAAAAAGAATCTACTTTAATTAGATATATCATACATGTTGGGGAGTGTTGCTAAGATGACAATTAGTTAACATCTCGACATTAATTATAGTAGTATTCATTTACTTCCTATATATTAATGTTGGGGAGTGTTGGTGAGATGACAATTAGTTAACATCTCGACATTAGTTATAGTAGTATTTATTTTCTTCCTCTATATATTAATGTTGGGGAGTGTTGCTAAGATGACAATTAGTGAACATCTTGACATTAGTTATAGTAGGATTTACCATCTTTAATATTCTTCCTTGAATATTAATTAATTTCTATTCATATTTCATATTTATATTTTGAACATTACTTAAAGGATCAACTAGTTTGGTTTCATATATTAATTATTACTAGAATCGATCGACGAATACGCTTGTTAATCGTTGATGGTTTGACAAGTAAGTAACTTCGGTTTATTAATGCACGGTCGTGGTTAATAAACTTAAGAGGGATTAATTTTGTTGGTTAAACCGAAACCATTGTGTTGAGGTTATCAATCTCAATTGATTTCATCAAGGAGTTAAGAGATTAAATGCTACTATCAAGTCGGTATATGGCGGTGTTCTATACTTGACTAATAGTAAGGGTTATTAATGAACGGTCGTTGTTAATAACTACCCTCGATGAATTGGATATACTCCTCGATTGAGTATTCGAGAGGGGATAAGTTATAGATATAACAATGATCGACTAAAATATATCAACAAGTGGAAAGTAGTAATGCCAAGTCCTTTTATCTTTGAATTAAATCACATATGAGTTGTTCATCTTTGTGTTTAATTAAATTAAATCATTCAATCCTAAATCCCCCTTTTATTTACTAGTTTTATAAAAAGAGAATTATTCTTTTCTCTGTGGATACGAACTCTACTACGCTATACTACGTATAAGTGTTAGTATTGAATTTATTTTGACGCAACGTGACAAAGTGCAAGCCAAATTTGGCGCCGTTGCTGGGGAAAGGCAATTAGTTTTCTTTTTATCTTATCTCATAAAAATCAAAAATAAAAATAAAAATATAAAAAAAAAAATCTTACTCTTCTATTTTCTGAGCTTACATGAGTTATGAATATATGGATACCAATACTTCATCCTTAGAGAGTCAAATTTCCTTCTTGACTTCTCTAATAAAGGAATTTATCTTAAGCTCAAAAGCTCAAGATGTCAAGACATGCAACATTTGCATGTCTCACAGACATCTTATGGATTTCTGCCTAAAACTCCAAGATGAATACCTTGAACAAATTGATGATGTTGGTTACGAAAGGGATGTACCTCACATGAGGTATGATCCGTTCTCCAACTCTAACATGTCTACGGAGGATATGGTCCGGGCTATTGCTACCAATATGACCACCATGCAAAACAACATGGTGCAATTCCAAAATGAGACCAAGTCTAGCATTTCAAACTTGGAAACTCAAGTGATTCAAATAGCCGGAGCCGTAAGTAGGCTTGAAGCAAGGGATTCGGAAAAACTTCCCTCTCAAATAGAATGTGATCCTGCAATCACATGGACAAATGAGAAGGAAAAGAAGAAGAAGAAGAAAGAGACGTTGAACTCCAGCTAGTCAAAGAAGAGGATGAACCGAGTTTCAAGGTCAAATATCTATCCTTGTCATCCTTTGAGGTACCCCCAACAATTCTAAAAACTTTGAGGGAAACTCATAAAATTGACAAGGATAATGACATTTTTGAAATCTTTAGCAAAATTAAGGGATCAAAACATTTTCCGTTAACCATGTTTAATGATAATTTCTTTCCCTCACTCTCACCACATGAATCAATGAAAATCTGGATATTTGATCTTGGAAAGATTTTCAAAGTGAAGAATCGAGAAATTGAGCATTACTATGGAAGTCCTAGGAGTGAAAGTGTGAAGAAGATAAACTATCACGATCCAAGTTTGAATGACTGAACACAATGATGTCGTCGTGCCACGAAGTTAAATAAGGCGCTTCTTGGGAGGCAACCCAAGCAAGGTACGTCATTGTGTGTTTAATATTTTTTTCCTAGCAGCCTCCTCTTCATCAATTTTCATGTTTAATCTTCCAAAACACCATACTACTCCGCCCTAATCACCTCAAACCACATGACCATATCTTTCTTTCTGCAACAATATACCCAAATCATCCACCAAACAACACAAAAAAAATCATAATCTTGCTCCCATCACTTTCCTCTTGCTCCACATAACTCTTGAAAACTCTCAACCTTCCTCTCCAAAATCCCCAATTTTCTAGAAAAAAAAACAAAAAAGGGAAAAAAAAACAACCTTGGCGACGACAATGACGAGCACTAGGGATCGTGCTCGGTTTAGCAAGGGGGGAGAAGACTCTTCATTGCACATATAGTGTTTCTTCTTCGTTGTATTTATAAAAAAAAAGAGAAAAAGAAAGAAAAGAAAACTAATAAAAAGAAGAAATGCTAGTTAGGTTGAAAACTCAAACGGGCAACCTAAGCAACATTAGCAAAAAAACAAAGAGTGAGTAAAAAAAATGAGAGGCTAGGATGAAAACCTGAAAATGCTCCTAGGCAAAAGAAGTGAAATGAGACAAGAAATTAGTTTTGCAGGAGTTCAGTTTCACCATAGCAAGCAACTGGAGGGAGAAACAATAACTTTCTATAGTGCGGATGAATTTAAAATGAAAAAGAAAACACTTCTGTTTTTCTTTTTATCTTGTTGACACTCTTTGGATGGTGAAGAACTTTATAGATTTTACTCGAGTACGAGTAAAAGACTAAGTGTGAGGGAGTTGATTGCATTGATTTTTGAGTGTTTATATTTTTACTTTTAATTACTTTTTGCGGTGTGTTGTTGTGGTAATTGCACATTTACGGTGCAATCATTTTATTTTTCTAGTTTGTTGTAATTTAGTAAATTTAGAATCATCCTGAGCAAGAATCAATCAAGAATCAACAAAGGATCATGGAAGGGATCTTACAAGATCAAAGGAAAGTGCAAGGGAACAAGAAATCATGTAAGAAATGTGATTTGGTGACTTACCCGGTCGGGTATGAAGTGACCCGGACAAAAAGACGTGCAGAAAACACAAATCGTGGGCAAAATATTTGATTTTGACAAATACCTGGTCGGGTATCCAAAAAACCCGGCCGGGTATCCGGCCATATGTGTTAAAAACACCTATAAATAGCCCCATTTTCCTTCACTTTTAATCACTCCTTCTTCCATACTCTTAAGCTCAGTTTAGAATAGTATTTCTTTTATATTTTTATAGCATGTTTAGTCTCCAAATGAGGAGCTAAACTTCCATTTCTTGGTGTTGCTCTCGAAGCTTGTTGATTATTAAAGTTGTGAGTTATTTTCTTAACTTCTTCCCTTGAATATTAATTCTTCCCTTAATCTATCTATATATTAATGTTGGGGAGTGTTGCTAAGATGACAATTAGTTAACATCTCAACATTAGTTATAGTAGTATTCATTTACTTCCTATATATTAATGTTGGGGAGTGTTGGTGAGATGACAATTAGTTAACATCTCGATATTAGTTATAGTAGTATATTTTTTTCCCTCTATATATTAATGTTGGGGAGTGTTGCTAAGATGACAATTAGTTAACATCTTGACATTAGTTATAGTAGGATTTATCATCTTTAATATTCTTCCTTGAATATTAATTAATTCCTATTCATATTTCATATTAATATTTTGAACATTACTTAAAGGATCAACTAGTTTTGTTTCATATATTAATTATTACTAGAATCGATCGACGAATACGCTTGTTAATTGTTGATGGTTTCACAAGTAAGTAACTTCGGTTTATTAATGCACGGTCGTGGTTAATAAACTTAAGAGGGATTAATTTTGTTGGTTAAACCGAAACCGTTGTGTTGAGGTTATCAATCTCAATTGATTTCATCAAGGAGTTAAGAGATTAAATGCTACTATCAAGTCGGTATATGGCGGTGTTCTATACTTGACTAATAGTAAGGGTTATTAATGAACGGTCGTTGTTAATAACTACTCTCGAGGAATTGGATATATTCCTCGATTGAGTATTCGAGAGGGGATAAGTTATAGATATAACAATGATCGACTAAAATATATCAACAAGTGGAAATTAGCAATGCCAAGTCCTTTTTATCTTTGAATTAAATCACATATAAGTTGTTCATCTTTGTGTTTAATTAAATTAAATCATTCAATCCTAAACCCCCCTTTTATTTACTAGTTTTATAAAAAGAGAATTATTCCTTTCTCTGTGGATACGAACTCTACTACGCTATACTACGTATAAGTGTTAGTATTGAATTTATTTTGACGCACCGTGACAAAGTAGACGTCAATATTCTAGAATTATTTTATAAGTATATTAACTAAAGAGTACTCTAGACTTTTCTTTACTAACTCTAACTTCTGGGCTAACTAATTTATTATTTCGCATACAACTACTAGCCCAATAAGTTAATTTCTAATGGACGCAATGATTGGGCTAAGCCAAGTTTAATTTCCAACAGTTTGAACTTTGAACATACAATTATGATACTCTCACTTAATTATGGAGTGTGTGCCCTACCATGCATTCATCTTATACTAATCTGCTAGCCTTGTATGTGTTACTCTCTCCGTTCCATTTTGATTGTACTGTTTTTCATTTTGAATTGTCCCAAAATGAATATCAGATTTCCCAATAATATGAGATATTTTTCATTTCATTTTATTCTATTCAAATCGCAATCACAACTTTTACTTTTTAACCAATTTATCAATAATTGTATCAAATTGAAAGATGAGAACCAATATGGAAGAGAGGTAGTAGTATCTTTTACTGCGTATTTCATAAACTTTCCGGTGTTTTCAGAAATATAAATGACAGAATATTTTAAATTTTATAGGATATATAGATCTTTAGTGATATTCTTTAGCACGTGGGTGCTTTTGTGTAAGGTCAATAAACTTTAGGAGACTTCTCAAACGGTGTTGATATAATCCGAATCCGATGGCTACCCCGAGTAATTGCGCGATCAGTCGTTCATCTCATCTCAAACAGTAGTTTGAGAGTTAACTTTTTTATGGGAACTTGGTGATCTTTGACTAAGGAGTAATATGGTAAAATCGATATCACCTTTAGCAAGCAAAGGTTATGGCATATTCTAGCCAGCACACAGCGTTCTATTCGATGGAAGCATTTTTTAGTGATAGATTAAGGTTTATAGTAAGTTAGTAAGATCCTTTCCGATGTACCAAAAAAAAAAAAAAAAAAAAAAATAGTAAGTTAGTAAGACGAGTTACAATTTTATACCCTTTACTAAATCACGTGTAAATTAAGGGTATGAAAATGTAACTTATATTACCATAAGTGTAACTCCAAATAGTGTCAAATGTAAACAATTAAGCTATGAATCAAATATAAATATTTAGTGTTAAGTGAAAATAAAGGGTATGAGATTGTAATTCATGTTATTGGAAAATGTAACATGGGGAAGTATGAAATGTAAAATGTGGAGTTTGACAATGTAACTAACCGAAATGTAAATCGTGCTTATGGAAATGTATCTTGAACCAAGTCAAAATGTAAATTACATTAATGAGAATGTAAATTGAACAAGTCAAAATGTATATTACATTAATGGAAATGTAATTTGAGACAAGTCGAAAATGTTAATTTTTTTTAATAGTCGAAAATGTTAATCACGATAATGAAAATTAAACTTGTAGCAAGTCTAAATGTTAGTCACATTAATGGAAATACAGTATAAGTTGTTTAATATTACGTATATGTTATATAGATTTGCCCCACGTGCATAAAATGTAACTCGTGTTACTAGAAATATAATCTCACATAATAGCAAATGTGAACTCTTGAACGCGAATAACTTTAATTTGTTGAAATTCAAATATGAATCACACGAAGTGAAAAAACAAAAAACAAAAAATCAAACTTGAAGAAAAGTTGCTAGCCTTAAAATACAAAGGCTAAAGGGTCAAATAGACCCTTGAACTGACTTAAAGTGTTCAATCAGCCCCTTATATAGGAGGTTTTGCTCGGCCGTCGTCAATTGGGGCATTTCCTGGTGGAATTTTTTGATGAAATTTTTGGACATCTTCTTCATCAAGTCTTGTTTACTCATACCAAATTTCAGCTAAAACTTCAACCGAGAAGGCAGTCAAATGATTTTTTGAAGATAACTGCGAAGTTAAACAGCGCAATACATTTCGAAAAATCATTTGAATGCCTTTCCGGTTGAATTTTTAGCTAAAATTTGGTATGTGTAAACTAGACTTAATAAAGAAGATGCTCAAAAAATTTCTATCACAAAATTCCACCGGGAACCGCCCCAATTAGCGACGACCGGGCAGAACCTCCTATATAAGGGGCTAATTGAACACTTTAAGTCAGTTCAAGGACCTATTTGACCCTTTAGCCAAATACAAATATTAATTTTTCTTCTAAATTAATACACTTTCATTTTTGAATCCATAGAGAAGGAATAAAAACTACTCGTAGTTTAATGTTGAAGATATATAAAACCGAAATTGTGATTAGATTCTTAATATTTTAACAAAAGAGAAGAAGGTACTCCAAGAAGAAAAAATCAAAGAAAGCAATGAAGGAGATGACCGAACATATTTGTGAATGAATCTCTAATGAAGAATAAATTATGTAGTTAAATATAAAACCACACTATAACTATATTAAGATCGGTACACCATTTACACAATTACACGTTATAATACAATAATAATGATCTCTCTCATATATTTTGCGTTCTTCCGAGTTCCGATCAATACATTATTAGAAAATACCAATCCAACTTTAGATATACTTGTACTATATAGCACGTTTGTTTTAATTTGTTTAACTTTTCCTTCAAAACATAATGCATCAATAGGCAATGGCAGCGTATATTTCCTTTAAACATATATCGCTCGAATATGAAATAGTGTTTGATTTTGATAGTATTGCACCCATTCTTTTTTTCGTTTTTTTTGGAAGAATTCTGTTTTTAGAACAATTTCAATTATAAAATCTAAATTATTTTTCTTGTCGTACGTGTAAGATTAGAGGGGTAAATTTAAATGTCCAGTATAAGCTAATGAAAATATATATATGTTTGAATAAAAAAAATAAACAGTCTAAACTAATGATAAAAATTGCCCCCTTTAGCCATAATTCCTTGATCCTTATTCCTTTCCTGCTTGTATTGAAATTGCTGGGTCACACAACTCAAAGAGAATAAATACAACAGCAAACCATAGATATGGTGTACTAACACATAAAGGCGGTGGCGGATGTACATTACTACATTCAACCATTCCTAGATTCATATAACATACTTCGTACTTACATACGTATCAAATTTGTTGAGGCCTTACAAGTATAAAAACACGGTTATGCCCACTTCGACCTTCAGTAATACGACCAGTGTGTCGAAGGATCTGCAAATAAAAAAAATATAACAATGATTGATGCTCCATACGTCCACAAAACTTGGCTGAGTTTGATATACATGTGGAATTATAAAATAAAAATTGTACCATTAAGATTTATACCTGAGAGAAATAACTTTGACCACAAGTATATTACTCCGTAGTTTAAATGAAAATGACAATTTTTTTGGGACAGAAAAATACAGAAACCTGACAGTTTTTTGTGACGGAGCCACGGAGGAAGTACATTAGTTTTCATGTGGCGCACCAATGTTAACCGAATAACTGTGGCACAAGTCATGATATTCAGTCCTTTAGCTAAAAAGGCAAAATGTCTTGTACTTGTCCTTAGGCTGTTTGACAACACTGTTTTTCGGCTTATCAAGCTTATTACCCAACTTTTCCATCAAACACGTAATTTTTGTTTTTGACGCTGAATTGTGTAATTAGCAGAAAAAGTAAGGTTGGAGTTACTTTTCTGGCTGTATTGGTTGAAGTTACTGTAGATGATCATTTTAACTATTTTTACATATAATTTTTTCTTTATTTTATTAATAAAATATATTTTAATTTTTTTTCTTAAATCAGCATAATGAGCCAATGCAGCCACTTCAGCCAGAACTTCATAAATTTCAGCAGAATCAGCTAAATCAGCTGATTTTCGTGCTATCAAACGGGCAGGCTCTTTGTCTTATTACATCTCCAACTAAAATGAAGTGTGTGTGCAAAACAGATTGAAGATATCAACGAGAAGGGTC